TCTCCGCGTGGCCTCTGCCCCCTCCCTCCTCACCCCCCCCAGGAGGACTGAGAGGGCCCCCCTCCCCTGGCTGTGGCCGAGGCGGGGAGGGGGGCGTGGGAATGGGGCAGACCCAGGATCGGAGGCAGAGCTTCCGGCCCCGAACGAGACCCGGATCCGGAGCCCCCAAAGTTTGTCGCGTTGGAGGAGGAAGGAGGAGAAAGTGAAAGAGAAAGAGGGAAATCGCGGCGTTTCCGTTCCTAAATCCACGCAACGAAAAGCCGTAGAAGAAAAAGATGCATTTGGGAAAAAACCTTTTTGCACCTTCAGAAACTTCACTTTTTCTTATGAATCTCCAATTAGAGGCTTTTAAGGTAAGGCAAGAGTTGAATTGAGATCCCTTGTTGGGGGAGCCTCTGAATTGGGAAAGGAGACCCAGCCCCCCCCCATAATTCCCCATAGCAGAGTCAGGGTCTGGAGGGGAGGGGGGAACCACAGGGGGAACTGAGGAGGAAGGATGGGGGGGAGAAGGAGACTGGAGACCCCCCCTTTAAGTTGCTCCTGGGGGCTCTTGAGGAAAGGCAGGTAGGAGGGGGAATATTTGGGGGGAGAAGTTTGGGGAAGCCAGGGAAGGTGGGGGGTTCAGGTGAGGGAAGGGCTGGGAGACCCCAGGATCATCAGTCCAGACACCCTCATTGTGCGCCCTCCCCATATTCCCCTCCCCAAGGAAGAGGGAGACCGAGGTATGGATCTTGCTTTCACTGCAGCCCTGAGAGTCTCTGGGTCTCTTCTCCCCCCACCCCCATATTTCCTGCCCTTTGGGGGGAAAAGAGGCCCCACCTGGACCCAACTTTTCCTGCTGAGGGTAGGATGTTCTGCTGCACCGTTTGAGCTTCTGCCTGCCTTTCTCCAGGGTGGGAGGACAGAGAGGGCCCACTAGGAACCTCCTCCCCCTCCCCTTCTCTCCTCCCCCCTCAATCTCCCCCAGGGAGCCACACTGGGACTGACAAACCTCCCCTTCCCTCCTCCACGGGGCGTCTTGAGGTAGCAACAGCCCTGCGGGGTTGGCTGCTGGTGCCAAAGGAAGACGATGGAGCTTCTCCCACTCTGGACAGATTGGGACCCTTCCTCCCCACACCCCCAATGGGGGGGCATGGAGTGGATTGAGCTGGGGGTCTTTTGGCAGGCCCCCCGTGTCTCCCCCAGGGATCCCCAGCAAGGAACTGGAGGGGGCTGAGAAAGGGCCCCCCCGGGTCCCCCTTCCAGCTGGGCCCTCCAAAGGCCACCCCTTGGTCTCCCGCAGCAGGTCTCCCCCTCCCCCTTCCCGCATGGGTCCCTCCTCTGCTGACGGCTGGGAACGATGGGCCCTGGAGTCCCTCCTGACAGCCCTCCTCCTCCCCCTCTTCCTTGCAGCCCATTTCTTGCACCAGGCAAAGTCTGACTGCCACTTCTTCAACGGGACGCAGCGGGTCTGGTTCCTGTACAGGTTCTTCCCCGACCGGGAGGAGATTGTCCGCTTTGACAGCGACGTCGGGGAGTTCGTGGCCGTCACCCCTTTGGGGCAGCGCTCGGCCGACCAGTGGAAGAACTGCCAGGACCACCTGCAGTACGAGAGGGCCGCCGTGGACCGCTTCTGCCGAGAGGCCTGCAGGGTGGCCAGCTACGGGGCAGACAAGGCACAGCGTGTCATTGGGCGGAGAAGTGAGTCCGGGGGGGGCGTCTTCCGGGGGGGAAATGCCAGGGCCCCCCTTTCATTCAATCCATTCAGGTTCTTTATTTAACTACTAAAATTCATCTATACATTTTGAAGATGTTTTCACTAAAATTGCCAGATTTTAGACTTTGAATTTCTGCTGGTTTAAATCTGTTCCTTCCATTTTCTTGTTAAAAGTATTTTCCCATTCAGAAGAATTTTCTTGTAAAAAAAAAGAAAAAAGCATTGTCATCACTTTCAGTCTGAAAAAACTGCCTCCTTTTAGCTCTTTTGCAAAGATTTTTAATGATCCAAGATACAAATGTGCTTCCTGGGAAGGAAAAGTCACAAATGTATTATTTATCTGAGCAGCAACCAGACTAGAGGCCAGTTCTTCATTACAAAGAACCAAAATGTTTAAAAATGGAATTGTCTTAAGTGTTATTAACGGTTAGTAAAAAAACCTCATCACTAAGAAAGACTATTAACAACCAATTGTCTTAAGTGTTATTAACGGTTAGTAAAAAAACCTCATCACTAAGAAAGACTATTAACAACCAATTGTCTTAAGTGTTATTAACGGTTAGTAAAAAAACCTCATCACTAAGAAAGACTATTAACAATCTACTTACACAAAACATAAAACAGCCAACTATTGAAAAGAAAAAAATTAAAAATAAGAGCCAAACATACCTTGCAGCCCCCCAGAAGCCGAGGCTGCCGGACGCAGCGCCAGAGACGCCTCTGGGGAGAGAAGGAGGGCGGGTGCCCTGTTTACGAGCCATTCGCATGGCAGGGAAGCCACGTTAGCCAACTGAGGAGGGGGCTCTGCCTCTGGGGGACCCAGGGGCAGGGATGAAAGGTGGGCAGGTTTCAAGGGGCCGACCAAATAGACAACTCTTCCTCTCTCTCCTTCATCTACCTAGTCAACCTCAGTGGATCTGGAACAGCTAAGCTACTTTGCCTTACGCCCAACTTGGTGGCAGGACCCGGACCAAAGTTATTGAGTCCTTGGTTGGGGGACCACCAGCAAAACCCCAGGGCTACAGGTGGCCCTTGGGAACTGAAAAGCATCCGGGAGACTTTTCCGGAGGGGGTGGGTAGGGAAACCTCCTTCTGTGTTGTTGCCAGAAATGACATTTGTGTTCACAAAGTCACCAGGAACTCCACTCCAGGGAAACGTCCCTTCTTCCTATAGGAGCGAGCATTTCTCAAGGATTGACAGTGCAACAGAGCACAAGAGAAAGGGCGGAAGGAGAAGAACCTGAGCAAAATAAGGAAGGGGTGGAGGGACGAAGAGTCCTCCCAGGCCAGCCCCGCAGCCCCCAAGGTACTGGCCGCCAGGATTGATGAGCATCAGTGACAGAAAGGGACCTACGTTCTTTCGATCTTTCCGTCCGATCCAGACGTTTCTGTAACTGAGAAACCCCCAATGCCTTTCTCCTCCTATTTCCCTGCAGGAGTTCGAGATCCTCACCTGCCGCAACTATGCCTTGGCCCCCGACCGGGCCCTCCAGCAGTGAGGTCTGGGGTCCTGGGCCCAGCCCCCTCCTCCCTCCCCTCCGACTCTCCACCAGTTACTGGCCATCCTAGCCACCGAGCCACCACCGAGGGAGCGGCCCCCGCCAGACCTGACAAGCCCCCCATGGAGATCACAGGCTGCACAGAGTGAGGGCCCCGGGGGAGAGTCTCTGGGGCCTCTGCAAAATGTGTTGGGAACAAAACACCCACAGTCTTTGTGCATTGTTGTGTTTGTGTATCACAATTTCCTGGGATGAAGTCACACTACCGAGAGTAATTCTTTGGCCCTGGCTGCTGAGCTGTTAGGAATCTCTCAGAGCATCGTCTTGGCCTTGCACTCCCCAACTTGCTTAAACTGTTACGCATGCAAGGAGAGTGTCTCGTCCACCGCCACCTTCATAGCTTTCTTTCAGTCCGATATCCATCATTCCCTGGCCCGGGCAGGTGGAAAATTTTCATTCAACAGGGGTGCTTTTCCCCCCACAACCAGGGCCCAAGGGAGTCCAAGAGACAGGGTTCCTAGGTCAGGCCTTTGATCCCAGTTGCTTCCAGTCCCACCTGAAAGACCTCCATTGCTTGTTCC